AAATGTGATGGTTTTGTGGTAATCTGGTGAATCTATTTTTGAACCAAGGAGAAAATCGCATCCCTCTAAAAGCCCAAAGAGCAACCCGCATGTAAAATTTTGAATCTTTTCCCTTCACTAGTTTTTTTAGGAGGACAAGCTTTGATGTCATTATCATGGATCCACAATTTCACCATGGATCCGTTCTGGTATATCCATGTCTCATTCAAGAAAATGAAAAGTAAATCTTCACCACAATCACGCAATTGGAGATAGGTACCGCCTTAGAAATTTGATTCTGGCAGCTATAACGTGTTTAAAATGTGAAAAACTTCGCCTTCGGCAACCTAAATTTATACGTGTATTATGTACAATTATTTTCAAAGCCAAGTGTTTTACCTCTTACAAAACAATAACGATTATATAAAACTTAAAAACGAATTGTAGAACGGAACCAACAAAGCATGTAGGTATATAAATCTGCGCAGTCGTCTTTCTGATTCTGATTATAATATTAACAGCACAAGCGCCGCTGTATCTGTATTATTTTAAAATTCGAAAAACACTCGACAACACTAGCGAACTTTACGGAGAATATTTCTGCCACCAGTTTAACTGTTTCCGTTTTACCCAATTTTTTGAAAACCACGAAATATTTCTTGTTTCTTTTCCTTTAAAATGAGCTTTCTCGTGATTACTTTTATGGAAACTGTTTCCATGCTGTATTTAAGGATTTTCTAGAAACGAAGCGTGTTGAAATTAGAAAAACTTCGTTTTTTTCCACACAATTCAGATTTGACATTTGAATTAGAAAATTAGACAGTTGATGCCAATCTTAAATTTCTAGTGATCTTAAGATTGCAACTTAACCACAGAAAAGTTTCTGTCAGTTACTTCTACCGAACGTGAATGCTTATTATATGTATAAAATTAATAACAAACTTTCGCAATGTGTAACTAAATTCACTTTAACCAAGACTTTTACGAAAAAACAAAGAACGATCTGAAATGCAATATTCTTTTCACAATCATACGGAAGAAACATAGGGAAGAAATGACGGAAGAAATAGTTTTGTATGGCACGTCAGTTAGACGACAGGTCCGTCAGGAACGCCAACTATTGAAATTAATTCGTGTGGCGATTTCCATACTGATTTTTTTTATTTTTTAGCTGTTCTTTTAAATTTTCCCTATTTTTTGATTTATAAACCATCCCCGTAATAATATAGTGAACAAAATTAAAAAAAGATTAAAAAATGCGAGTGGTGGTAGAAGGCTGAAAATTTAGGCTTATACAGTGCATCTTTTTTAAAAGTGGCCATTGGGATTCCCATGTTAAATTTCATACCCCGTTTTAACTTATGTTTGAGCATGGCCGACTAGTATAAAGATTATGGCCTGTCCAAAGGAATGTCAAAGGTACATTACGTGCTGCCATCTATTAATAATTCAAAAACGACAAAAGAATTATTAACACCTTTTGAAAGGCACAAAGGCATTCATACCGAAACAAACCACCATTACACGTTTTGAAGTCCCATAATGTCAAGTCAAATTAAAATTTTGCTAAATTATTAAGTGTAATTATTAATAGATGGCAACACGTATCGTACCTCTTGGACAGGCCATAATCTTTATACTAGTCGGCCATGGTTTGAGTAAAGATTTAAAGTTGAAATTTTTACTGGATGCAATTTGGGTCATCTTTTGTCGATTTTATTAAAGGGCACGCTTTAAATTAAAGGATATTTCTTAAAAAAAATTAAAATATTTGGGTATTTTTGTCTGTAATATTGTAGGCAGCATTGTAAAAACAGACATTTATCTGACGTTTCTAAAATTTGATTACTCGTTCGATTACTGGTTTTTAGTGACCGAAATTCGTCAGTATGTCGCAGTACACAATTAAAGAAAAAGTGGAAATGCTCATTGATGGATACATTAAAGGCTTATCGACAACAGATAATTTTCGCAAAATTTTGCTGCATCAGTCCCACATCGTCCTACACCCGACAAGCGCACAATTTAAAAATTTTATGGCAGATTTATAAACATAGGTTTTCTCGATCGGACAACAAAAACGCAATTTCAGTGAAATTTTCTTTTGTTTCCTTCATTTATGTTTGAATTCCATCATTCTGTTTCTTTTCTAAAAACTGTAATAATAGTTATTTATTATACAAGCGGTTAAAGTGAATGTTTAATGAGCGGTCAGTTTAAGGCGAGAGCGGCGTATGCCGCGAGCGCCTTAAGACCGCGAGTTACACATTCATTTTAACCGCGAGTGTAATACAAACTTTTATTCAATTTTGACAACCCCAAGTCCCAAATTGTGAAAAAATTGGTGATTCAAAGTTCACATTCGAGAAACGTCAGAATTGACAGCGACCAAATAAAAGTTTTATATGCGTAGAATTTAGGTTACAATATCAGGTGTGTGTGTGTGTGTAGTATGTGACTCTGGCGACGGTGTTTGTTTATTTTAAACAAACTAAAATTATTGAAAAATTGCAAAATCATGCAAGATTCCAACGGCAAAACTTGCTCCCAAAAAAGAGCAAATCAGAAACTGTATCAAAAGTTCCTTAGATGGAAAGAGCAGCAAGGCATTGGAGAAATTACAGAAATGGTAACCATGGTTTCAAAACAGCAAAATAAAAATTTTATTTCGCTAGCGGTTTAAAAATTTTATGGTGCTACCGGATAAACCAAAGCTTTAGTGGCCTACTGACGGCAAAATAAACGTTTGTTTACATGTCAAAATTGAATAAAGGTATTTATTGGCTAAATTAAAATTATGCTGTCAAAAATGACAAATTTTAACTGAAACGTCAAAACCTTCTATGATGTACCAAAATTTTTTAATCAAAATAATTTTAATTTTTTAAAGCACAAATTAATAAGTTACTGCAAAAAGTGGTAGTGGAAATTAAAATAGAACCCTAAGGCTAATTTTACCGAAAAAATCAATTCTGGGATTTCACCCTAACAATAGTTAACATGGGGTCTAAAATTTAACATGGGAATCCCTATGGCCACTTTTAAAAAATATGCACTATGTATTTTTTGATGCCAATTCTTAAAAAAATAAAAATAAAAAATTTTGTTCAAAAAATAAAACAAAAATGTTTAGGGTGGGCCGTCCTTATCACTTAGGGGTATAAAAAATAGTTTACAACCTATTCTCAGACCTAGCGAATATACACAAAAAAATTCATAAAAATCGCTCAAGCCGTTTCGGAGGAGTTCGGTTACAAACACAGACACAAGAATTCTACATTAGATATACTACACTAGTAGTTTACGAATTCGCATTGAATTTTAATGAGGGTTAATTTACAAAAATGTTTCTGCAATATTCGCTGCGTGTATTATAGTATATTATATAACCGATATCTCGCGCACAAGGAAACCAAACGTGTTACGACGCCAGATATATGTATGAGTAATCGAATCTCATCCTCGTTTGATTTTTTTTATATATGTAAAATCAAGAACGATTGACCCTATTTTTTCGAAAATTACAGTAATGTCGCACCCGCCTATATTTAATAATAATAGAATACTTTTCACCCAGAATAATATTCTGACCGTTTTGATGCATTGTAGCTTAATGAATGAATTAAGTCTTGTCCTCTGTTTTACGGAAGTAAAATCAATCAAATTCATTTTACGTACGGTATTAAAATGTTAAATAAAAGAGTAAAATTCGGCGTTGATGTTTGGTTTGCTAGTATAAAATATTCTTGGTTTCAATAAAAAAATTAGCAATAAAATTCTTTTTGTTATGGATATATGTATCGGACGAATGGCCACTTTTATGTTTTCTCGACGTTTCATGCTGCCTACAGTACGAAATGACTATGACTAGTATTATCCATCTTGATAACGTCATCACAAATTTTTTATTGGTCAAATTAAGAACAAGCCACCCCATTTTCTCGAAAATGTAAGAATACGCACGTCTTTATATAATAAAAATAAAATAAGAATTATAATATTTAGACATTTTGTTGGATAGTGGTTTAATTAGTAATTTTAGTCCTCCGTTTTGCGAAGACAAAATCATTCGAATCAAACCGATTTTTACGCGACATACTTTCCATGTGTAAACATAAATAAACACTTGACTACTATTACCTGGTGCTGAAGGACATTTTATCCCGTTATTTATGTGCTTTAAATATATATAATTTACATTGCCCGTACAGTGCAGGGGGTGTTATTTATGCCTCTGGTTTTTACTTTACAGAGGTTATCACAAAACAAAAATCGTAAAATCAAATTTTATACTCCTAATTTTTTAAAGAGCTGTGTTTGTCGCATTATACTACAAGGGCGAAGGAAGTTCTGTTGAAGTAATCTTGGACCATTTTTTTGTCTGTCAGTGTATATAATACATAGCTATTCAAAATTTTAAATTTTCTTTTTCTTTCCACTTTCACTAATAATGAGATTATTGCTCAATAAAATATGGTTCCTTTTTTAAGTTGTTTCGAAATAAAACTCGACCAATGTTTTTGTTTAGTTTGGTTACTTACTGAACATGCCTTACGTATTAAACGTTTATAAAACATATCATGTGTTAAATTTTGTTCTGATTTTAATAAATAAGCAATATAAAATGTTACAATTTGTGCTTCTAATATAACTTATAATACACTAAAAAAGGCAAAAGTAAAAACACGTAGTTTTAAGAAATTTAGTTGACCGTACGATGAGTTGTTATTACAAATCCAAACTATTAAACAAAAGATACCTTACTGTTCACAACTAGCGGCCAGTGATTTTCAGATAAATTCTAATGTATTAACATTTTCTAGTTTGTCCTTTTGTTTTTTTTGTTTATTGGTGATCTATAAAATTATTTATGCCTCTCAGTTTTGGTTCTATAAGGTTTTTTGTAAACAAATATAAAGCGGTGCTTTGTAGTAAGAGCAGATCCACCTCGACTATTGATTTCACTTCGTCGCACTGTTCGCCCTTTCATATGCTAACAAACTGCTCAAATTTTCTTCCAGGCAATACTCCCTTAATGTATGGTTGTGCCGGTGGTCACACAAAGGTCGTCGAATTTCTCCTTGAAAACGGTGCCAACGTGGAAGATCACAACGAAAATGGTCACACACCTCTAATGGAGGCTGCTAGCGCAGGACACGTCGACCTTGCAAAAATCTTGTTGAAAAGGGGCGCCGGCATCAACACTCATTCTAATGAATTCAAAGAATCAGCCCTCACATTAGCGTGTTATAAAGGACATTTAGAAATGGTTAGGTTTTTATTAGAAGCCGGGGCCGATCAAGAACACAAGACAGACGAAATGCATACGGCACTTATGGAAGCGTCAATGGACGGACATGTAGAAGTTGCAAGGTTATTGCTTGATTCTGGTGCGCAAGTTAATATGCCAACAGACAGTTTCGAATCACCTCTAACACTTGCCGCTTGTGGTGGTCATGTAGATTTGGCAATGTTGCTGATTGAAAGAGGGGCAAACATTGAGGAAGTCAATGACGAGGGTTACACACCTTTGATGGAGGCTGCGCGGGAGGGACACGAGGAGATGGTACATCTACTCTTGGGGCAAGGTAAGTTATCACCGATCTTATGAATTTGTCTCCTGTAGCAGTTACATCAGTTTGTTTTCTAACTCGAATTTTTGTTTCTCTCGATCTAAGGGAGTGAGGATAAAAAATCTGCAAAAGCTTCAAACTAGCATAAATTTATTATTAAATGAAGAATTAAAAATGTGTTTGTTAACGCTTACAACATCGACTTTAAAAAACACAATCTGCACCTATCTATTTGCTTCGCGAATTTTTGTTTTAACACGGGCGCGTTAAATTTGTGAAAGGCGATATTTTTGTCTGACGGATTTTTAGCAAGCTTAATTCTGCATGTGTGGCTGCTTCCCACCCAATTTCGCACAAATTTCTCATTGGATTTCTTTAAAAGCGAGCAGTTCAATTGGTGGTACATAAGTAACGTTTGGAACATTAGGAATAAACCGAGCAATAACGTTGGCGTAATGATTCTGAAAGATTTCTTAATTTTTGCTTTTGTTCTAATGTTTGTTCTTTGAATATTTCGGAGCTGGTAACAAGTAAAATGAGATATACGTTATTCTAATTGTCGTACACACTTACAGGGTGAATACCAGACAATGAAGAGAAGGAAAAATTCAGAGATATTCGGTTTATGCTTCATAAATGATATATGCAATAGAAATTGTGCCACGTTTTTATAATACTGACTAGAGGTGTTTACAAAGACTCAAGAGATATATGCATAAATTACATTAACAGGTACAAATTTTATAAATTGACAGTTGCCGTGTGGATCGGTTTTACATCAACACAGGCATTCGCTTTCCTTGAACCTAAAATGTCCTTTACACTTTATGGTAGTATACAGGGTTAGGCACGAGAGAATTACTTCTGAAAATTATTTTTACGCAACCCAAAATACGAATACCATGTACCATTTGATAGTAACTGAATTTAAAATGAAATGCTTAATCCATGATTGCTTTGAGTTTGGCAATCTCATTTTGACAATTGTGGAAAATGAGGTTACGCGAGTGTCCATGGTGGTACCGCAGCCAGTCGGAAATCTCCTCCGGCGCCGCTAATAAATTTGTCAGTGTGCCTCTTGATCTTTTACAACCGATTAATCACGAGAAAATTATTTCTAAAAATTCCTTTTACGGCATTTTATTCAAAGGTTACAACACAAACTCAAACAAGTAAGTAAATAATTTAACTACTAATCTGTTGAAAATGTTGGGCATTTTGGGGGGATGCTAAGGCTTTTTTGTAAATGGATGGCCGAAGAAGTCCGGAGATTGCAGATTTGCACTTCGAAGAGGCTCTAGGTGACGTAGAGACGGCGAATTAACACATGCACATTAGCGGCGAACAACATTGGTAGAGCACTTACGTCTTCAGTATAGCCCAGATTGATCTAACTGTATGTCGTCGATCCAATGGGGCTCTAGAGGCGAGTCAACGATGAAAAAAAAATGTTAAAAATTAATTAACGTCAAAGTAACACTGCCAAAGTCAAAGCAATCATGGATTAGGCATTTCATTTTAAATTTAGATAATATCAAGTGGTACAGGGTATTAGTATTTTGGGTTGCGTAAAAATAATTTTCAGAAGTAATTCTCTCGTGACTAACCCTGTATATTGTGAGGAAATTTGATTTGAAGTTTACAGATGTATAGTTGATTAATTTTATCAACTAATTGTAAATTGTTTGGTAGTTGAAGAAGGCATACTTTGCCAAATATACATATACTTCATATAAAGCCTTGCTTTGAAGTAGTAAGGCGTCAGCATGTAGAAAATCAACCAGTTGTACCACGTGATTTGGTCACTAATGTACATGTTTTCACTCTTTAAGTAACTTCTTCAAAACAGCTATATGCACATTTATTTGCAGCTGTTCATGTACTCCATACGTTATACGAGTATACATATGTGTATATTATATTATTTTTTGTGATTCCATATATTATTTTTTCCACAAATATATTTAACGATCAATATTTTTGGCATAAGTAGTCAGTAAAGTAACAACTTATTTCTAACCAATACTTGATCAGTATCTGTTTGAAGGAGTACTATCAGATTAAAAAAAAAAAAAGAAATTACCACTAATTATATAACGAACTTCCATCCTAAAGTTTTTAATTAACAGAATTGTTTTACATCTTTATTTTCATATCTAGTACTGAATCCGCAGAATTTTATTACTTCCTTGTTAAGCTAACTGGTAATAACATTTACTTTACAGAATTTCTTTAGAATTTTGAATGTATCTTCGAACATATTGACTGTGCTCTGTATATGTTTGGAATATTTCATGATTTATTTTCTCTTTTTGTATAGGGGCAAACATCAACGCGCAGACAGATGAAACGCAAGAGACAGCTTTAACATTGGCCTGTTGCGGCGGCTTCACGGAAGTGGCCGATATCCTTTTAAAAGGTGGTGCCGATATCGAACTGGGAGCTTCAACACCACTGATGGAAGCGGCACAAGAAGGCCACTTGGACTTGGTGAAGTTTCTATTGGAAAACGACGCCAATGTCCACGCCCAGACCCAAACTGGAGACACTGCACTTACGTATGCATGTGAAAACGGCCATACGGATGTAGCAGACTACCTCCTACAGTACGGGGCGGACTTGGAGCACGAGTCGGAAGGAGGGCGGACGCCGTTGATGAAAGCATGTCGAGCGGGGCATTTGTGCACTGTACAGTTTTTAATATCGAAAGGAGCGAACGTTAGGCGACAAACGACGAATAACGACCACACGCCATTATCGTTAGCATGTGCCGGAGGTCATCTGTCAGTGGTGGAACTTCTTTTGAGTCACCATGCAGATCCGTGTCACAAGTTGAAGGTATTTTGAAAAGAGATCAATACGTTGAGATTATTTATTTATTTGTTTCGTCTAGGACAATTCCACCATGTTGATAGAAGCAGCGAAAGGAGGCCACACGAACGTAGTGCAATTACTCTTAGACTATCCCCATTCAATGCAACATATGATGATTAATCAACATCAACAAGGGGCTACCACGGCTACCAATTTGTCGATGCTTCCGGGGCAAGTTGGTAGCCGAGACTCGCCCTTACCACCTGGAGCAATGCCTCCCAACTTGCCCGCACAACCAATCAATTTCTTTCAACCACCCCCTGGTAAGTATTAGTGCTTTTTTATTTTCAAACTATACAAGGAGCATTCCACTGTCACGTTCGCCACATTCTAAATGTATCGAAGAAATTCTGCTCCGTTTTAATTATCCAAAGAGGGTGTATTTTATATATTAATAGAAGTATAACCTCTAATTTGGGTGTAAAATTTGAGTTATTGCCCTTGACGGTTTTTTCGTAAGAAATTTTTAAACTGTCACGTATGGGACACGTGTGAATAGTTAATTATTAAACAATTCTAATTCACAGTTTTAATAACTAGTAAGTAAAGAACAGCATAATGACAAAACTAAACACAAACAAAGTAAAGTCTAGAACATTTTTTAGAAATTTCTGCCAAGCAAATCTGCTGTAAATTTAAATTTTTACGTGAAACTTTGTATTAAAACTCTTCAACACAAATGAAACACGTATTTAAACATTTTCAGAGATTCAACCCCCCAAGGGGGTGAAAAGTGGTGGTTAAGTTTGTATGGAAAAAATATTTCTGTTGTAAATTTTTACGTGGAACTTAGTATTGATGCTCTTCAACACAATTAATAAAACACGCATTTCAGCTTTTTTTCGAGATTCCATCCCTAAGAAGATGAGAGGGGGTGACAAAGATTATATGAGAAAAATATTTTTATGACGATTTTTATTTGAAACGTGGTATTAATGCTCTTCAATACATTTTTTACTTGAAACTTGTAATAATATTCTTCAGCACAACGAACCATCTATACGAGCGGAAAACTATTCATAATACACATAAAATTTGACAATAATCGGTCCGGTCGTTTCGGAGATTATATATTTAACAAAAATCATCACGCACGACGGACAGACAGACAGACAGACGGAAACGGGGACCCACTTTTTTTTTCGTACTCTGGGGTCATGACCCATAAAGAAAATATGAAAGCACCAGTCGCCCGATGGACTCGAATACAATATTTCCTAGCTTACGCTGGGGAATAGAAAAAATAAGTAACAAAGTTATTCGCCTGTTTCTGGACTGTACACTAACCCTGTGTAAAAAGATTCGATTTAGCATACCACAGAAGGCATCGATGTCTGGTCTATGCAGTTGACATGGTTATCGTTTCCAGAGCTAAAAGAGAGAAGAGTTAGATGAGGTAATTCAGAACCCCGAGAAATCGGTTAGAAAGTTAAGTTAAATTTAAAGAACAAAAAACAAAGTACATATATGGAAATAGATCTCTCAGTTCGCTAAGTCGAGTTTTCAGAAGAAACAAAAACATCTAAAAACATGTACAAAACAATACAGGGTGTTTCTGAAAGGTATGCTCAAAAATTTTATCTGATAAATCTGACCATCTCGGAAAACCAAATATGTAGTACTTTGTTAACCCCCGTTCATTTTTTCTGCGTCATTGACAAATATTAATTAGGTGTAAGGTATACAGTCGTGCTCACATAAATCCCGTACAACATCACTTTTATGTTGTGTCAAAATCAATAGCATGGATACAATTCCGATTGTCATCTGTGCGGGATTTATGCGAGCATGAGTGTACATAATTGATTGATTCCTAGCAACTGGCTAAGGTAATGGTCGATAACATATGTCGACAGTGACAAGTAAAAAGTCAAAATTTATTTCTTGCCTGTCAAGTCTTTTAGAAGAGAGATTACCAAAAAAAAACGAAGTCTTTAGTTGGGATTCAAGGAGAATATTTGACCATTGTACAATGTGCATTACCATGTGTCACTGTGGGTTTTAAAGGTCGAGGAATAATTATCTAACAATTTGTAGATATTTAAGGCGCCAGACTAAGTGGAACAGCGTTTCTCAGGGGAGTCGGCGTGTGGGGTACACATCTGAGAAAACCCTTTTTTAACAAAACTCAGTGAAAGATAAGTTGTAAAAGTGCTTAATAAAAATAAAGAAGTTTATTCTGGTATTATTCTTTATGGGGATAAATGAACGAGACCTTCATTGTTAGCCATGTACTCTACTTAAAATTTGTAAATAGCACGACTTAAAAAAAGGTCAAAAATCGCAAGGTAAAATTGTCTGTTACAATAAGTGTTCGAAATGACGTTCCTCGTTTCTAATACAGGCTTCCGCACGTCGTATTAGTGGTTGCTGCGTCCTAAAGATGATGTCAGGATTAGCTTTAATGTTTGTTACAAGTTCCTCAATGCGATTTCTTACCTGCTGAACTGTGTCCAACGGGGTTTGATACACCAACTGCTTCATGTACCCCCACAAAAAGAAATCGCCGGGATTGAGGTCGAGAGACCGAGGAGGCCATAAAACTCATTTCTGCCTATTCATCGTCCTGAGAAGTTCTCGTTAAACCACGCACGCTCTTCATGAGCAGGAGCCTCATCGTGGAGGTACCACATATCACGGCGAATACCTAGTGGTACATACATCCTCTAAAAGGTTGCCCAAGGTATTTAAAAAGCGTAAATAAGCAGTGGTTAGATGGTTTCCAACCATACATGCCAAAACATATTGACACTGAAAGAATCCTGAAAGTGCGTTTGTTGAATTGCATGGGAATTCTCGTCTGACAAAACATTGGTGTTGGCGGAATTGAAAATACCATCTCTGGTAAATGTTGCCTCATCTGTTGAAAAGAATTTTTCAGTAAAGTGTAGATTTTCTCCGTTTTTTTGAAGCAACCATTCCCAGAATGCAACCCTTTTTGGCAACTCATGCTTTAAGTGTTGTACGCGTTGCACATGATATGGATGCAGGTCCTGTTCATTTAAGGTCCTCCACACTACAAATGGCGAAACCACTATTCGGCACACCAATCTTCGCACGCTTAAGCCTGGATTTTCGTCTACGACATTTAAAATTTCCGCATTTAGTGTTTGGTTGGTTCTTTGCCGACCCCAGTCCGACGTACGTAGACGAAATGCTCCATTCACGTGAAACTTTCTGTTGCTGAGCAACGATTGTCATTTTTTACCTCCAAAGTAATGTTAGCACACCGCAAATGTTGCTTAACAACCAACAAATTGCTGTACATCAATAGCGCACAGCAAATTTTAATCAATTTTTTAGCGAATTTTATCTTTAAAACGAGAGAACTTTTATTGAGGTGATTTTGAGTTTGTGACATGTGCTTCTAATGCCCAATTCCCCGTTTCTTTTTTGACATACCTTTCAAAAACAGTCTGTATATTAGTAGTCCCACAGGATCTATAGAGTATGGGAAAAAAGGTGCTTAAAAAATATTTGGAGGTTATGAAAGTAAAAAATACCGAGAACGAAGAACTAACCAAGAACGTAAAGAACTCTAAAGAAAAGCAAATATAATTGGATCGATAAAACCTCGCAAAATACGCTGGATAGAACACATTACGAAGATCATTTTTACTTTAAGATTTGGTCACAGACTACACAGACAAGACACATACCTACTTTGAGCGAACGTGACCCTTATTGACGACTTACCTCAACCGTCACTTCATACGCGCGATTTTTAAACGCGAGGACTGCCACTTGACAACACAATCTCGGATAAAAACCAACATAATGTTAAAAAAATACATCAACAGAAGTCATATTAATTATGTTTAACCTACTAAAATAATAAAGGCGTTCGTACGTACGTTCATAGTCAAAAAAAAAACATGAACAAGCTAAAAAATTTATGAGTGCTATTAAATTTATACATTTTTTAAAAGTGAGTGAATGATTATATTGTATTGTATTGTGTGTTCTGTCGCCACAGGACTCGCAGGAGTGCGTTGTACTTCACACGTCTTGGTCGGACCGATTTTGAGGTTATATGTGGTTATGTTGTCAACCCAAAGCAAGGAGGTTTAAAAGTATATATGTAAAGTTTGTCCAGAATTATAAGAATTTTATGGACTCCCAACGTTAATTTGTTTCACAGCTCGGGCGTCAATTCTATTGTACAGGTAAAGAGCCTGTCAGGGGAAAGCCGATCTTTTCTGTACCTGAGTTCGCCCCGCTCTTCAATTAAACAATAAAACTGACAACAGGGCTGCAAAACAAATTAACTTTCGGAGTCCATATAATTCTGGACAATCTTTACTTATATTCAATATCTCTGCCCCGAAGTGTCAAAATTCTAGTTTTTCTAGTTACATTCTCCTAAAAGTTTCCACTAAACAGGGTAGCCACTACAGTATTTTGCAAATTTTTAAGCGGAATCAAGGTCATTCTTACCTAAACCGTCATTTTCCTGTGTTCAAGGGCAAAATAATTGAAATCGACTGTTTGGACTCTTGAATTAAAGACTATATTCGTTTGTCAGTGGTGGGGGAGTGGCTTGTCTGTGTAGTCTGTGATTTGGTCATGTATGCGCATTAAATGCGAGACGCAACTTCGCTAGCGTTCTATTAAATGATTCTGCCACTAAATTTAATTTTAAATACTAGATCGAAATTTCACTAAAAGGAGATTTCACAGCCTAACTTCTAAAGTATATGTGAAATGGTAATTCAATCAGACGCTAGTTGCAAATATTTGTGAACGCAATTTTCTTGAAAGATTTTATTAATATCTTCAGTTGATAGCAGTTAATATTGTGGCGTATTCTTTTTTTGTCTATTAGTATACATGTACAGGGTGTTATTGAAAGGTACGTACAACAAAATGGACAGTTCTTCGCGAAGTCTAAGAAGTCGGAAAAACTTATTTTGTGTTATCAAAATTATAAGGGGAAAATTAACCCTTATCCAACCTTTTTAGACGCTACTGAAGGATAAGTAGGTAAAATGAATTTATTTTAGTAACTCCTAGCAACTGTAACAATAAAACTTTTGTCAACACTAAATGTTGCTATAGAAACGAAAGATGATCTTTTTATCAGAGGCGTACACCGAATTTGGACATAAATTTTAATAATTTTTATCTCTAAAAGGAGAACACTTTTACCTGAACTTTTTTTAACTTTGAGCACCCATACTTCGAGACTAATTGCCGATTTTATTTTGTACGTACCTTTCAATAACAGGCTGTATTATACAGGGCGATTTATTTAACCTGAAAC